ATTTTTATTAAGTAAACCCTTCTTTTGATCTTAATAAAAGTTGTTCATCAGGCCTTTCCAGTTCTAATGGTAGTAAACTTATTATACTCGGACCAGTAGTTTCTAAGATATTTATATCCGAAGTTAGCTAACTTTCATTTATTTTTTAGAAAAAACTACCAGTCTGATTTTAATGATTTTACTACCATTAGAACCGGAAAGGCCTGATGAACAACTTTCATTAAGACTAAAAGATAGTTTTCTTAATAGAAATATCTCTTTCGGGGGTGGCATTAGCAAAAATGGGGGTGGAAATAGCAATACTCTAAATATTAATCTATAATTGTAAATAGTTATTAAAAAAAAAACCATTAAACAGGTCTAATTTGTTTATTGTTTTGCTTTAAATTACTTTTGTCTTTAAAAGCTATACAGATTTTATTTGTTTTTTTTTATATAGTTTTTTTTTTTATATATAAAACTTGTGTTTAATAGGCTTTGTCTTATTAAAACTTTACCTGTTTAAATAAACCCTTATTGGTTTCTAGTATTTTATTTTTAAGATTAAATCTATTTAGAAATTCTTCTAATTCTTCTGTCTTAAAAAAAAAGTTTAGTCTTTCAGATTATTTATAACTTTACAGATAAGCTTTTTGTAATAATACGATAGTATATATTTTTTTCTTGTATTCTTTTCAATCTTTTTTGAAATATACTAAAAACAACATTTCGTCTATTGCCATTACTGTTCTTTGGAATATACACTGCTTTTGCTTTAAGCAGTCTTAGCTGTTTTAGTAGACACAATGTTTAGTACAAAGTATATTATTTTTACGATATAAATAGCGTCTAGTTTTATATGTTCTGCAATTGATCCATTAGTGTTGGAATTACTTTTGGTCATGTGCAGTTACCGCGTTAAATTTTGAGTAAATTTTTACGCTTTTTTTTTTTTTTTTGTAATTCACGTAAAAAACATAAAAGTACGCTACACATAGAGCTTGAGGATGTATTTGATCCGTATAGTTATATCCTTTTTATTAAATTATATTCGGATAAATGTCAAGGATAGTGAAATTAACGGTTATCATCAAATTTTTCATCATGTACAGTCTATATAATCACCGGGTTGGTAACCAAAATTCAATGTGATTAAGGCAGCAGTGCCTATACGGAAGTTAATTCTCTTAGTGATTGCAAATAAAATGAAAATGGAATTTTTTTATATTTTGTGATTATATCAAAGAGCGACTATATCGAGGTTAGACTGTATTAGCTATCATCTATCTAATAAAACAAATTATATCAATATTTGTAAAAAAAAAAAAAAAAAGAATTTATTCACAAATTCATCTTGGCCTAAATTTAAAACAATCTTGATTATATATAAACTTGAAATTAAATAAAAAGTCTTACCACAAAAAAAGCTTTACAATTCTATTAGTAAATTTATATATTCATTTAATTACTCAACATCCTGTTTTATTCCTCTGTCGAAGTTTGTTGTAAAATGAAATCTCTCATTTGCTTCTTACACAAATCCAATGGGGTTTTCTTTTGCTCGTTTTCGAGTGTAATATCACCACCATTTTCAATCAGCACTAATGCACAATCACCGTAGCCTTCTTCGCACGCCAAATGCCTATCAGGTGAATAATTGATAAAAAAATTTATTGTAACAAATAAATAGGACCAAATAAATTCGCTTACAATGGTGTGTTTTTGACTTTATCAGCTACGTTAGGTCTGGCGCCTTTCTCGAGCAATAATTTCACAAACATGGTATATCCGCAGACCGCACATCGATGGCTACATAGTAAATAAACGAGTTTTCATAAAAGTTTAAATAAATGGTTAGTTAAAATGAAAAAGATAAATATTTGCTTACAGAGGAGTTTGATTATTTTGGTCTCTAATATTTAGATCGGCACCTCTTTCCAATAACAAAGTTCCAATCTATTAAACAAATTTAACTTAAATAATCATATAAAACAATTGAATGAATGATGCAACATAAGTTCACCTCAATCCTATTCTTAGAAGCTGCGTAATGTCTGATAAAATATTTTTTTATGTGAACTTTATTAAATTACCATGCACATCATATTCTATCATGATGAAGAAACAAGGGCTTAACTTGATGTGAATTGAATAGTGCTTACAATGGAGTAAGGCCCATCTCATTTTGAGCATTGACGGTGGCACCTAATTGTAAAAGTTTTTCTGTCACGGCTAAATTTCCTGTTGAAACTACAAAACATATTCGTTTTAATGCGAAAATTGTAATTGATATGATTTAGAGCAGTCGTGATTATTTTACCAGCAATATGTAGAGGAGTCCAATATGCCTCATCGGCAGCATTCACGTCTGAACCATTATCTAATAAAAACTCCACAATATCTAAATGTCCCCCCGAAACTATTCATATAATAAAAATTATTACACATCAATTTGAAATATTGAAATAATTAATAATGTTTTTAGAGCACATGCCGGCCCAATGTAAAGGGATTCTTTCGTCCTTTAACATTTAGCAGAATCAGGAAGAGGTTATAACATAAAAAAAAAAGACGCAATAATTTTCAAAAAGTGAACCTCGTCTTTCGAATTCACAGCCGTAGGCTCAGACTTTATGACTTGTTGAACTGTATAAAGTTGACCTTCTAATGCTGCAACATGAATACTTGCACTCATTATGAAGAATGGCAGGTCAGGTCGAGAAAATCTTGGTTTATGTTTTTATCAAAAAAGGTAACCACGATGTTGCCATAACAAATTCTCCGCCTGCCAAATAAGTTGATTTTCCGGCAGATGAAATAATTTAATACGTACGTACGTACGTATCATTACCACTAATACGTAAATCGAAATTATTGCATACCGATACTGGATATATTTGTGCACTACGAGCTTAATACAGTACGTATAAAGAGTACAATTAATCTTTGAAATAACACTGCAAATTTTTAAAACCTTAATTATTAACGTTATAAGAAAAATTCTTGTAAAATAGTGACGCAACCAAAATTACGCAGCATTAATAAATTTTGTCCAAATCATTAACGTTAAAAATGTCCGCATGGTAGTTTTGGTCGATTTGTTGCAACTTACTACGAAAAATGAATGGATGTAGGATTCATAAGTCATTGTCATCATTGCCATATGTTATTGGGTATTCTATAGAGTCGAAGCTAAGTAAACTATACCAATATCAAAATTATATATACGATATATCATATAAACATTTTTTATTAATTAAAGGATTCCGATCAGGGAGTTCTTTTATATAGTATATATTCAAATAAAATATAAAAATTAGTTATAATTTTAAAAAGTTTTACTAAATTTAACTATACAAAATTCTATTTACTACAAAAATTCTACGAAAATTATAATTAAATAATTTAATAATATATACGATTCTTTTGATAGGTATCTTTGAGTTTTAAATTTTAATTATGAGAATATATATCTGGTAAAGCCTACTAAGTTTTACATTGTGATTATAAATCACAGTATACTCCAAATATTTTTTATTCACCAATCATAGAATACCTATAAGAGAATCATTATATTCTATTCTTGATTAGATCAAATGAAAATTGTTCTAATTCATAAATTAAAGTTTAAAAACCCCAAAGAAAAGATCGAAGCATCTAAATAAATCGATGAGGTTGATTGGCTATGACTACAATATTTTACTAATCATATTTCAAGGAATGCGAAAATCATCGAAATAATTATACAGAATAATACTAAATACAAGGTATGCAAACAAAAAAAAAATTTAAAGAACGTGATGTTATTATAAAACTATGATTGATTATGATGTTGTACACAGCCAATTTATGCCACTTTCATGATCCGGTTTCTTGTCGACTACCCTTTCTTTGATTCGTTCGCGTCCGTTTTGGTTTCTGGACATTAGGATCACTTGGTCTCTTACCTAAAAGAATAGAAAAAATGATCAATGAATATATAAATTTAAATTCACAAAGTGAATCGGTAACAATGACTTACCACTTAAAACTGGAGATTTTGGTTTCACTGATGGAGATTCTTGTTTTGCAATTGCATTTGATGTTGACGGTGATGGTACTGATACGTCATTTGTCGTGGATTGTTGTGTATTATTATCCGTGGTTGTATTCTCAACCTTTTCTTTAGGGGTTTTGGCAGGTATTTCAGATGGTGATGGGCCTGGTGTTAGTGGAGTATCGTTCGATTGATTTATGATATTTTGTGGCTTTTGTTCTGGATTTGCCAGGGCACTTAAAGCTTCTACATAAATGCATGTAAGAATGGAGAGCTAAATAAAGACCAAAATATCAATCATAAAAGTTGTGGGAAAAAACTCTTACGTAAGGGTCCTTTATTTGAAGTAATTACTGTCGTTATTAAATCATTTAATGTCACTACACCTTCAGCGACCTAAAATGACAAAAATCAATATTTTTGGTTTAAATTCACATATAAAAATATCCGCTCATGAATTTCATACTTCTAGGCTTCGCAGTGTCTTCGTAGGAATACCATATTCCCCAATCGGACTCCCAGGTAGCATATTAATAAGCCGAGGCACATACTCTATATGCTTTTCTGTAGTAAATTCGAATATGTCTATTTTAATACTATAATTAAATCTCACTTTAAGAAGACCTGTCGCCACAACCTAAACAAAATAATAATATCGACTAATAAGAAAAGTTGAAACGGATATATAAAGAAATGATAACTTTAAACTTATAAAATAATATACCCTTGATCCATCTTCATAATTATATATCATTGAGGCCTTTGCTTCAACAGTGCTAACTGGTGCTGCAAAGCCATTGTTGATGAGAATCGGATGACTTAAATTTTCTTTGATACTACTCATTGTGAGCTGTATTGATGTGACACCAGATTCAAAATTTACTTGGAAAAATCTTGAAATGACTGGATTTGGTATATCTATTAATTGATAAGTATACTAACTGATTAAAATTATTTCAATCTTTTTATCTGACACAGTGAATAAGATCAACAATGATAAAGAATGTAATAGTTTCTAACCAAACATCCTCTTTTCTGTTGTATGACAGTTCCATAGACCATATCTGAATTTTCCATCCTCTGAAAAAAATTCATTTACAACTCGTTGCCAATAACCTATATCCTTTTTATTAGAAGTCTAAAAGAGAAATAAAGGTTGGGTGAACATTACATTACATTCAAATAGTCAATGTACAAATAACAAATATAAATATTCACCTCGTTCGTTAGGTGTTCACTGAACATAAATAATCGTAGAATGCATGTTCCTTGAGAATGTTGAGGTCTATTTGTAAAAGATGAAAAAAATAATACTTCCTTGATTAATTTCCAAAACATGGCAAAATTAATAAATATGTCATATATATGAAAATGGATAGCTTCATATGACTCGCCTCGGAAGGTAAGACATCGGATTCCGACTAGCGTTCGAAGATAATTTGTGTGAATTAAATTTGTAAGTGTTGATTTCGAACAAGTACAATAAAATGATACTCACGAAATAGGTGGTGACGGATTTTGAGCTAATGCCATTTGTCTTTGTCCTTGTAATCTGGGATTATTTATGGCCGGCATGTTAGCCAGCATTGGAATCCCAAGACCATATTGCGGCATTGCTGGGTTGAGTGTGTGAGGTGTTTGTCCCATGGCTAGGTGCATATGAGCCAAACCTCTGGGAGCGTTTTGCACGCCAACTATTCCATTTGTTAAGTTAATACCATTAGTATAAGCCGCGGGATTTAGATTAGCCATATTAGACATCGCTTCGTTCAAAAAACGCCTTTGGGAATGAAACAAGGTAAAATTTTGCTTTATATAATACGTACGTACGTACGTACCTATATTTTACGGAAAATATTCATGCATAACATTGTCACATTACTATATATTTTATACAATACTGTATAAAAAGTATACGTATATGTAGCTAGTAATAGTTATCATGTGATTTTCAAATTGGCAAATCTATAGAAATATAATAATAAATCGGGAATGTCCAATCATAGCAATTCTTTAAGATTTTGGCCAAAGTACTATTGTAAAAAAAAAAAAAAATTATAAATTTTTAACACTATAATTTTTTTAATTTTGTTGTCAATATTAAATATTTTGTTTAGTACCTAATATACTGTAATTTAACAAATGTTTTTGTTTTTTTTTTAATCTTCAAAGATAAGATTATATCTTTATCTTTATTAAAATTTAATTAAACTTTACAAATCTAGAGTAGTGATGCGGTAGAATCGTTCCAATGATGGTCGTCACATTGCCGTAACTTGCCGTAATTATAGTAAGTAGTATATATACGTAGTAAGTTACAGCATTATAGCCGTAACTTACTACGTATATTATACTTTGCTATAGTTACGGCAAGTTATGGCAATGTAACACAATGTGACGACTATCATTGGGACGATTCTACCGCATCACTAGACTAGAGACTCAAACAAAGCTTATGATTAACTTAAGAGTTAAAGAAGTTATCTGTGACCTAAACCTATCTAGCAATTAAGTTGTATAAACTATATTAATATTTAAGTTTAGTTTTTATTATTTATATTAATTAATTAATATTTATATTATACAATTATTAGGGGATTATATTCAATATACTGTATGTATTTTAAAAGTGAATTAAAGCATAATAATAATACTCTTTAATTCATTATTTAATATAAAAAATATCTAAAGACTAATAATTCTTAACAAATACTACTATTATAGTATCTTTATTAAGTTTTGTTATGGGTTTGGGCCCTATAGCTTAGCGGTTAAGCTGCCAAACCTTCACAGACTAGGTCGATAGTTTGAGTCGGGCTGGAGGCAAAATTTTAGGATTTTTAGCTTCTGTAACCCAATAGAGGGCCATAATCGAATGCGAAGCTCTGTGGTTAAGTTCAAATGCAAGTACAAAACTAGAAAAGGAAATTCCTGGAAGGAGGTCTAATTGTGGAGTGGTGGCATTACGTATGATATGTTATAGAAGATCTGTTACATGAAGGTTGTGCATGTTAGTCCTTGATTAGGAGTGACCGGGGCAGCACCAATATCCCCAGCGGTTGGGGTACTTGATGGGGAGAGTAATACGACAGTAACAAAACTGGAGTAGTGAGAAAAGTGGTAAATACGAGGACGACTTGTGGTAAAGGATTGGTTCATCCAGAGTTCAGAAACACCTCTGGCCCCAAGCCACTTGGCTTATTAAGGAAGAAACCTGTGAGGACAGAGCGAGAAGGTTGAAACTCAGGGTACGTAGTAAAAATTCGAAATGGTCAGATTCACCGAGCTGGTAGTACAATTGTACAAATCAGGCTTGTATATCAGAAATTGATAAGGAATACCAAACACTGAAATTGGAAGTATTACGGACCACAAGCCACAACTAGGTCTAGACCCCTAGAGCCTTGTAATCTAAAAATGTCAGGGTACCAGAACACTATAGCTCAAATTATGGAAGTTATAGGGTAACTTATAACGCAATATAGTGAGCCTGCATCAATACACAGAAGTATCTACCTATAAGGTAATGGGAATCGGCAGCATACTAACTAAACTAGGCATTAATGATGAGGCTTAATCTGGGCCAGCATGAGTTTCTCTTCATGATACTACCTGGGCAGACTAGCTGAAGATAACCAAGATTAGAAGTAGCCCTTGAGGCTATGAGGCCATATCCCAGAAGGGACTATCAAATTTGAAAGCTTAAATATAAATAGTATAAGAGATGCAGGGAATGATGTTATAGGGAAGTGTACCAAAATAGGACTTGTGAAGGGTAGTAAAATACTAGGTGAGTGCATCGATGATAATGGTCACTCTGGTAGATTTGGATCACAGATAATTGAATTGGTGGCCGGTAGTGGATGGAGACACCTATCGCACAAGTAATGGTTTCGGCCAGAGCATAGGTTACCAATAGGATCTGGGTCTGAGCTTGGTGTACTTGATATATGTAATACCGAAAATGTAATGATACATGTAAAGTATTATTAATAAATAAAGTTATGGGCAAGATCCCACCTTAATACCAAAAAAAAAAAAAAATTAAGTTTTGTTATTTACAAGTTTTCTTAATCAAAAAGTTATTAGGACTAAGGTAAGAAAGAATCTTAAAGAATCTATAGAGAACTCAGATGTTATTAAAAAAAGAAATTTTGTATAGAAATTTGTATTTTGTATAGGTTTTTATTTAAAATAATTGGTGATAATTATTACTAGTATATAATTAGCTAATAATAATAAATTAAAAAAAAAATCATTTTATTTACTTTAGAATTAGAATAAGGCCTGGAATTTTAGATTAAATATATGCAAAATTTAGCAAAAAATTTTTTTTGATAGAACGTTGAAGGTGGTTTTATAGGTGATATTAGCATTTTTTAAAAAAAAAATTATTTTATTATACAAATTAATTTGTATATTATATCTAATTTTGCAAATTTATTGGCTAATTATATACTGATAATAATCACTACCAGTTATATTTAGTAAAATCTTTTTGTAAAAAAAATTTTCAAATTTGGTTTATTTTTAGGTTTGGGCCCTGTAGCTTATTAGTTAAGCTTCCAAACCCCCACAGACAAGGTCAATGGTTCGAGTCAGGCTGGCAGCAAATTTTAAATTTGTTATTGTAACCTTAA